CTGAGGTGAGAAACGGTACACCTGAAAGCTAGACAGTGTGATAAATTAATGTTACCTCAATAAAAATAAAATTTATATCATTTATGTATACTAAATCTACTTCTATTCCTTTAATTTTCTTTTATTAGCCAATTAGAACATGTTTCAGGATTTCAGCTTATAGAAGAAAAGTTCATAAAACAGTGACTTTAACATTTAAGGACCAAAACAAGCATTAGACTTATACATTGAAAACTACAAAATACAGCTGAAAGAAATAAAAGGAATGTGAATGAATGGAGACATATTCTTCACTCGGGAGTTGAAAGAATTGATATTATCAAGACGGTAATTTTTAAACTGATCTATAGAGTCAACCAATTCCTATTAAATTCCAACATTTTGGCAGTAATTGGTCCTAAAATCTGGGAAAAGAACAACACTGGAGAACTTAAACTCCTAATTTGGAAACTTACCATAGTGGCACATTGATCAAGATATTATGGTACTAGCATAAGGATGGGCATGTGGATAAATGGAACAGAGTTGAGAATACTGAAATCAGCCCTCACATTTGTAGTCCACTGATCTTTGACAAAGTGTGAAGGGATAATTTAGCGGGGGAAAGGACAGTCTTTTAAACAAATGATGATGGGCCAACTGGATATCTACATGCAAAAACTATGAATTTATATAATTATTTCATATCACACAAAACAAACTACAATTGCTCACAGACTAACATAAGGGCTAAAACTTCTAGAAGAAAATATAGAAGACCTTTTGTGGTCTTAGATTAGATAAAGAATTCTTAAATAGAGGATCCATACAGGAGAAATACTGAAATAATAGGCTATCAAAATCCAAATTTTTGTACCTCAAAAATACAATAATAAAATGAAAAGATAAAGCACATTCTGGAGAAAATATGTGTAAATATTATTTCTGATAAAGGACATATCCAGAATATATGAAGATCTCTTTTCAAGTCAATAATAAAACAAAAAATTTAAAAACAGGCTAATAAGCACATGAGGAGATGTTCAGCATTATTAGTCACATTAGTCATTAGGGAAATACAAATCAAAACAACGAGACATCACTTCATGCTTACTACAATGAGTATATTCCAAAACATAAAATAATTATTGATAAGGATATGGAAAAGGTGGGACTTTCATATATTCCTGGCAGAAATGCACTTTGAAAAAGTTTGACAGTTTCTTAAAAACATTACACACAAATATATCCTATGACCCATAATCATAACTATCCAATTTCACTTCTAAGTATCTACCAAAGAGAAATGGAAACATGCCTTAAAATGACGTCTATGTGTTCATGGAAGCATTATTCACAATCTAGCAAGTGAAGACAATCTGCATGTCCATCAACTGGTAAAGGAATAAACTACACAAAACCACCATACAGTGCACTATTCCTCAGTAGTAAGAACGAACTATACTGATACTGACCACAAAGACAAATCTCAAAGACAATAAGCCAAGTGAAAGAAGCCAGACGTAAAAGACCCCATGTTGGGCCTCCCCGGTGGCGCAGCAGTTGAACGCTGGGTTGCGAAGCTGCCCGCAGCCTCTGCAGTGCCGGTTCGATCCCTGGCTGCTCCCCGGCCACCGGCCAGGGTCCCACAGGGCGTGCAGACCTCTCCTGCCGCCCGCTGCTCCCCTCAGCAGTGTGCTTCGGTCCTTCTGCCTGCTCTGCTCCCCGCTCTGGCTCTGGTGAATTCTCTCACCCTCCCGCGCTTCTGACTGTATCCAGTGCTTATATAAATAAATAAATCAACAAACAAACAAATAAATAAATAAATCATTTAAAAAAAAAAAAAGACCCCATGTTGTATGCTCCCATTTATATGAAATGCCCCAAAACGGCCCATTTATAGGAGCAGAAGGCAGATCAGGGATTGCCTAGGATTGGGAGTGGGGCCAAGAATTTTCAAGAGCCGGTCTTTTGAGAATGATGGAAGTTTTCAGAATTGGATTGTGGTGAAGTTTTGCACAGCTCTGAGAACTGATTTTTTTGTGAGTATACACTCAATTGTACCCTTAAAAGAGGGGGTTTTATGGTATGTAAATTATATCTCACTAGAGCTATTTAAAGAAACAGGGAGCTTATTTTTCTCATATGATGAGGTGTCTATAGATAGGCTAGTCAAGGGTTGTCACGGATTTTTCTGTAATTACTAGAGACCCAGACTCTTCCTCTTTATGTTCTTGTTCCAGTGGTCATAAATTGACCTCCTTCTGGGCAAAATAAAAGAGAGAGAGAGAGAGAGAGAGAGAGAGAGAGAGAAGAGAGAGAGAGAAGAGAGAGTACAAAAGGTATTAGTCTGCCAAGACAGCTACCTTTAAAGACCTTGGAAGCCCCACCCAGTGGCTCATTGACCAGAAAGGTGCCACGTGACCATCCCTAACTTCAAGGAGTCTGGGAAATGCATAAGTATTGCCACCTCTAATCAAATTATGACCCTGTTAGTAAGGGAGAAAGGAAGAGTAGAAATTGGGTAGAGTAGCTAGCAATCTCTGGGGTAGAGAATACTTTTGATGTTGATGTAAACATAATAGAACCAGTGTGACCTACAGAATAGAGTCACACTCAGTTATCAAATATATAATCTAGAATATGCTTAGTAATAATGATTTCTCATCAAAATGAAAACAAAAGCAATCAAATTTTCAGTGAAAACATAAGGGCTCCAAAGAAACTGTTACTCTGTCGAGACACACTGAGCTGAACAAACGTTTCTGGTTGTTCATATTTTTTTTTTTTTAATAGAGGCATGTTTTATTTATTTATTTGTTTGTTTATACATGCACTGGGTACAGTCAGAAGCGCAGGCGGGTGAGAGAATTCACCAGAGCCAGAGCGGGAAGCAGAGCAGGCAGAAGGACCGAAGTACACTGCTGAGGGGAGCAGCGGGCGGCAGGAGAGGTCTGCGTGCCATGTGGGACCCTCCTCCAGTGGCCGGGGAGCAGCCGGGGATCGAACCGGCGCTGCAGAGGCTGCGGGCAGCTTCGCAACCCAGCGCTCAACCACTGCGCCGCCGGGGAGGCCCAGTTGTTCATATTTTTAAGACAAAAACTTGAGTGATAAGCCATTTGGATTAGTGAAAAGAATAGTGTCCTTGAGTTGAGAAATGTCTGGATTCAAAAATTGGCCACACCCTAACTATGTGGCAAATTCCACAACTTATCCTCCTCTGTACAATGAGAGCAATAACCCCACATCCAGGTGTTCCTGGTTGGACTTAGTAAGAGAGCAGATGTGAAGCACTGTCCATACAGGAGCTTCCCTGCACAAATCACAGCCGTGCCTCACACCAGCATGGAGGAACACACCTTTTTATTCTCATCCAAATTAAACAATGTCTTGGATTCCCCCATTTCAGCCTGAGAACCTTTCTCAAGAGAATTCCTATATGGATATCATCTATTCAACACACATATCACACACACACAAAGAGACACACACATACACAACTTATAATGTTGGGGGGAGCAAAACAAAACAACACATTTCAGATGAAAGTAAGTCTTTGAACAAGTGCCTTTATTTTTGTACCCAATGTGTTATAACATTCCTAAAGGTTAATTTTTCTTTTACAAAATCAGGGAGCACATAGAAAAATGCATCAAACAAATGCATGTACTTGGCACATTTAAAAATTGGGGGTTTGTGTCGAGTGTGAAGGCAGGCGAGCAAGGGCTTTGGCACACACCCCAGGCCATCCAGTCCTCATCCATCGCTCACACATCAGTCTGACAAAGTCAACACAGAGCCTTTTATGGAACTTTCTCCCTGAAGCACAAATGTAGATTAAAAAAGGGAGACTGTTCAAACTGGCTGATTGGGATCAGTTTGTGTCTTTAGTAGCTTTTCAAATCACTGATTTTTTTTTGGTTAAACACCTACGGAACAAAAATCTGTATAAGAACACTGTGTGTCTCAAAGAAGGAAGAATTCCAAGCAGAATTGTGAAATTTGTACAGTGAACTAGAATAAATTATTTAGATCTTCGTTCTCCACAAAATACCAAATTGTATTAACAATGACAGTCTACATAATAAACAGCATCTCCTTTATTTAGAGACAAGAGCAGGCTGAGGGAAAACATGAGGGAAAAAATGAGTCTGGCTTTTCAAGTGTCTTTGTATCAGTGATCCAGTTCAACACCCTGACACTCACATTCCCATTTTTCTTCTTCCTTTGAAAGAGGGGGAGAGATGGATGGGACATGACCCCTCTACTAGGGATCCAACAGGCTTCAGGTCAGTCCTCAAGGGAGCCCCAAAGTTCTGTCACTGAGCAGCAGCTCATTCTGCCAAAACCTGACAGCTGTCTGGGCCTCTACAGCTGGGTCACCACATTTCTTGGAATTCTCCCCAGGCCTAAGATTGAGAAATCCCATCTGTCCTTTGGTGCCCTCCACAGCTAATGGGGTTCAGTTACCCATAGGCTTGTGCAAAATTTCTCTTATCCTGAGAGCTGACATTTACACTTCAACTAGAAGTCAATTAAAAGCAAAACAAAACCCATATTCTCCATTTTCTTGAGAGTCATCTCATACCAGAATTACCACATGGTTTCTCTTCTTCTTCACCCACATCCCAAATCATGGGGCGTAGGAAACGTCCTGCTTCCCCAAATGCACACACCAAGGGAAGGCCGTCTAGTGTAGCTTTGCTGGCAGCTGAAAGCAGAGCTCGTAGCAGCGCTGACGGACTGGGTGATGACAGAGTCAAACACAGCCGATGCCTTCACTGCCACCTACCAGACACTATGAATTTGGGGTTCTCAGAATATTTTCATATTTATTGTACATATTTCAAATGCAGCTGTTTGCTTAGTGATTTTATTGTAATATATCTATAAGCTGATGCATCTGATAATTATAAATGAAAGTAGTGGCTAGGGAAGGAGCCAAGATTGCCAAGCAACTCTGGGTATTTGGTTGACTCACACAATATTCCCTCATGAGGTATGAAGGTGCTTGGGTGGGACTTAGCATCCAGCCCACCTCCCCACCAGAGAACACACCCCCAGCTGGTGTGGGGGATAAGGTGGATAAGGATTTACAGGTGGACAAGGTGACAGAGAGCAACTGAGGATGCTGGCCTGTGGGGTCAGGGAAGTGGGCATGATGGGTCTCCATTGCTCTTTGGGAGTTCATTAAAACTCTTCTAGAAGTTTAATTTTGCTCACACCTTCACTCTGTGTGTGATTCTCATCTCACAGGCTAACCAAACTTCAAGGTTCTCTGTCCAATGCTCCACTAGAACACTAGGGGTCAGCAGCTTCCCAAAAGTTGCCAGTCAAAGAATCAAGATGGGGGCTCCTGGGCGTGGCTGGAAGTAGGGCTGGCAGGGCACAGGCCCCAGGAGGTCTGATGGACAAGTGGGAGCTCTCACGCCCCAGCCCTGTCTTTCGGTGTCTGCCCTCAGCTACTCTTGCAAAGATGGGCACTGGGGAAGTTGGCTGGCAATGGGGTTTGTGGGCCATCATCTTGTCCCCTGGCTCCACTCTAGGCTCAGGGATAAGCATCTTGATCATGTTTGGGCCAAGAGGAGTTGAAGAGAAGTGATTTCTTTACTCTTCGGGGGGGAAACTGTGCAATGACTATTTCTTTCTCTCTTCCTGGATGAGGATGAAGATGCCAGACTCTTGGACTTAAAGACAGTCATCTAGCAATCACTGGGGTAGGTGTAAGATGGGGTGTTGTAGGATGAAAGCTGCTGAGGAATAAAGAGCAGAGTGGGGAAGACAGGTCTCTCCGGTGGGAGGGCGGTGACAGGGCTCCCCCAGCAGCGCTTTGCTCCCATGTTCCCTGACCTGCTCTGCATCGGGACCCACACCCTCACGGCCCCAACAGTGCACATCCTACACTCAATTGTGAGGAGGATTTACCTGCAGCCCATGGCACGAAGGGGGAGGGGCACCACATGAGTTCAGGGGCCAGGAGAAGCTTGTCCCTCTCTACTTTCCTCAGACTACTGTACCAAGGAAACAGCAAAGGGTCACTGCACCCTTTTGAAATTTTTACAGATGAGAACTTGTGGTGATAGAGGGTATGAATTCTGGAGTCCATCAGGCCCAAGTCCAAATCTCAGCAACTCCTCCACTAGCTATGCGACTTTGTCTCTGGGCTTCTGTGTCTGTGAAACTAGAATGAATAAGGCCTACTTTTTAGAGTTCGTTGCCCTTAAATGTAGTAATATATGTAATGGGTTTGGCACTCAAAGAATGGTGGAGGAATTTTGGGGCACTGGTGGTGGGCAGGAAAAGCATACATTTGAACCTATTACTTCCAGGGCAGACACAACGATGTAATCCTAACTTACTTCAATAGCATAATTTGGAATGAAAAAAAACTGCAAAAGACAGTTGCCGAAAATATTTTTCCAAAACTCCTTGGGAGGAAGAAACATATGACAGAAAGGCTGCCAGCTCCCTAACATCCTTCCCCCACCTACATTTACTCTCTGCCTGTGACAAGGCTCCCCGGAAAATGCTGGGGACAGCAGGTCACAGGAAATTTGAGCTTCTCTTATAGAGTCCACATCCATGTTGGGAGCTCAGACTTCCAAATGGGAACTCAAGTTTCTGGAAGTGAGCCCAGTTGTGGAGCTGGGATTCACTGAGGATGTCCTTCCTCGGGGAGGCCATATGCAGTGAGGCAGTGTGCAAAAGGACTACCAAAGCACCAATGTTATATCATCTTTGCTTATTATTATTATTTTTTAAAGACATGAGCTAGAGATTTCCCTCACTCACTCCAAAGGGGGGTTCTTAAGTAGAAGTCTAGGACCCACATCTGCCTGCCAGTTCCAGGATTCCTGTTCTCAGCAAAGGACTGCCAAGGTTTCCTAGAGCAAGCCCCGAGGGGGCAACCCTTCTGTTGTCTCCTTCCACTCTCCCTGGCAGACTTGACCCAGATCCATCTCTCCCTCCCCCTGCCTTACTGATAGCCTACCAGGAAGGTCTGATGGAGTAAGAGGGCTTTTTTGCCTCCCATCCCCCAGGAGTGTGTCTTCACAGCCATGGCTGACTGGGTCTGAGCAAAAGGTGCCACATGTGACTTCCTGAAGGTAAGGGAGACCTGCTCTTCCTTTCTTCTCCTGACTGGGCTACAGCGTGACCGTAGGTGCCTGAGCAGCCAGCCTGGGCCGTGAGGCAGAGAGCCACATATGAGGATTGGGGAGCCGCAAAGTAGAAAAATCAAATCTTCAGTCATCTGGAAACCGCCCGAGACTCCTGAGCCTCCACACCTCTATCACATGCACGAGAAATAAAATTTTGTCTTGTCTGAGGCAGCGGCATTTTGGCATGTTGTGTCACTCCCAACTAAACCTAATCCGACTGATACTTGCCTGTATCCATCCTTTGTTTTCTCTACACATATGTGATACCAGAACTGCACTGTTTTGAACGTGACAAGCCGCTTACAAATGGGGTATGGATTCATCAGTCATTCCCCTCAGACTCCCCAAATCCCACTCACATCCTGCAGAATGAATTCTACCCACGGTGTAACCTCAGAAAGGTCACCTCCCAGACATGGAAGAAATAGATTTTTTTTTTTAAACCAAGAACAAAACCTTTTTGTTTTTCTCCTACATTAACGGGCAACTTGATGAAACAAAAATCATTTTCACTGTGATACAAACCTCTCAACTGTTTACAGTTAAAATAAAACGCTGGTTACTCCCAAGCATGAACTGCATACAATGTATAGGGAAAGGTGTGCACTGTGTGTGTGTGTGTGTGTGTGTGTGTGTGTGTGTGTGTGTGTAGGAGCACTAGGAACACTATTTGGCTTAGTCACTTATTTGCAATTAATAGCAAGTAATTGAACTCCTTATTTGTCCATGTTTCTTCAGCTATAAAACGAAGCTTCATCCAGTACTTGCACAAAAACTAAATGCATTAATATGTGTGATGCCTCAGCACATAAGCAGGTGCTCTAGCAACAAAAGTTTCTTCATTTTGTGTTCTTTTTTATATTGTTATAAATGAAAAACTAGAGAGTTTAGGTCAGTAGAACTGTATCTTAATAAGTTCTAGTCTCTGAAACTTACCAGTTTCACAACCACAATGGATTTAAGTTATTTAAGATTCAGATTTGTCAACTGTCAATCAAATCTAAACAACAACAGAGATAATCTTAATATATAATAATAACAAATATATATGACTTATATGTAAGTATTTCATGTAAACCTATTTTTTTCTACCTCGTGTTTTTAAGGATGTAAATAAAAATGACAAAGTGTTTATAAGTCAAATAAAGAAAACTGTATTAAGGAAATTAGAAAGGCATACAAACATAGTAGTCCTATTGATAAAACAGATTACTTATTTTAGAAGAAAAATTTTTAGAGAGCAAAAGATTTCAATTTTTAGAAAGCAAGAGATTTCAATCATAAAAGGAAGTACAAAATTTTATTCTTCCCTACAATTTCTTTCCCTAAAGCTACATGATATTAAATAGAGGCACATGTTTACAGAATTGCTTATCATACAAGTGACAATGAAATATGCACGCTGACTATACTGATTTTTTTATCTTTTTTACTTTAAATAGTTCTTATCACTTAAAGTAGGTAAAACATCAAACAATACCTAAGGAAAAAATATGATGTACGCATATGTTCTCTGGGTAAATGTATACTTAATATAACTGCATGTACTTTCTTTCTTTTTTTTTTTTATAGAGGCATGTTTTATTTATTTATTTGTTTGTTTGTTTGTTTTTGTTTATACATGCACTGGGTACAGTCAGAAGCGCGGGAGGGTGAGAGAATTCACCAGAGCCAGAGCGGGGAGCAGAGCAGGCAGAAGGACCGAAGTACACTGCTGAGGGGAGCAGCGGGCGGCAGGAGACAGTCTGCGCGCCATGTGGGACCCTCCTCCGGTGGCCAGGGAGCAGCCGGGGATCGAACTGGCACCGCAGAGGCCGCGGGCAGCTTCGCAACCCAGCGCTCAACCGCTGCGCCAAGGGGAGGCCCTGCATGTACTTTCTATCACTTATAAATAAATGTTCCATAACATGTTTATAAGTTGAGTAGAATTCAGAAATTTCCCCCCTTAGAGAAGCAACATCTCCAATAGCATTAACTTATAGTTATCGAAAACACCTCTTCATACAAAATCTTTGCATAGATAAACTTACTTTTGTATATGACTTTTCTAGAGACACAAGAGCATTTTGGTCAATTTGAGTCATTCCTATTGAACATAGTGAGGAATTAAAGGATTCAGTGTGAAAAGGGGGAAAAAGTAGGTGCCAGAAGTAGAAGTTTTTGCTGGGTAGCCTTAGAAAAGATGAAGAATCCAGCCCACAGGTGATTAAAAATGTATGTTTTTTAAAAATGGAGATTTGCATATAAAAATTCCATGCCCTGCATTTCAACACAGCCACAAGCAGCTGGTTATGCCTGGGCTGTCTAGATCCCTCTCTGTCTCCCCTTGGGGGACTCCCCTCATTTAGAGATCTACTGGCCTGTATTTAAGGCAGATGAATTTGCATATATGAATTAAGACAGCTGAGTTTGCACACAAACCTCTCCCTATGTGAAAACGAGAGACCATGCAGCCGCAGGTTGCAGGCTGACAAGAAAGAGCTGCTGTGGTTTGGCTCTCCTTCTGTCACTGGGACCCAGCTCACCAGCAGCGCAGACCACCTATGGAGACCCACCTCCACACAGCCACAAAGCAGCACTTACCACCAAGGGTGGGTTTCCTCGGACCCAAAGGTCTCGTTGCAAAGTTCACTTTCCAGCACCAGATACCACCTGTGCAGCAGAACACTGAGCATGACATTCTACTAGACGGTGTTTGAGTTTGTGACCTTCGCTTTGAATTGACCCTTTTCCAGTATCTGCTAGTGGGGGAGGGGCAGCTGCAAGAGGGGCTTCTGGAACAGATCAGAGCTGGCCCTCGGGACTCAAGCATATTAGGGTCAGGGGTAGAGGACCTGAGCACTGGCCTGAGAAACACCTGCTCAACTGCATTCCACCTCCTACAGATGGGGTCAGGGAGGTGGGCACCCAACTGGTCATAAAATTGGAGTGCTTCATGTGTTTATTTACATGTGTTGCATGTGTCATTTGTGCTCTATCTGAATGTAGCACTCTGAGGCAGGGACTCTGTTCACCTTGGCAGTTACAGCAGTGCACCACCATTACTCAAACAGTAGATGCCCAACTAATGTGTGTGCAATAAGTGACTGGATGAAGCACCTCTCTTTTGCTGGAAGCCTTCTTTTTCCACAGCCAGGCTTCCAGCATCTCCCACATGGAAGATTTCAGCTCCCAGCTTCCCAACTGAACCCCAAGCCTCAGTGTATTCCACACACCCACCCCCTATTCCAGTCCCTCCATTGAGTTGCCTTTCTAGAATCCATTCGATCATCTCTTCTCTTAAAATCCCATTACATTAAAGCACTATTTTTAGGATAAAATCCAGATTTTTAAATGAGGCCCCAACCTGCCCCTTCCACCCAGGTGAGCCCTGCTGGACCTCACCGTGTGCCTGTCCTCCCCGTTTCATCACCCACCAGCCCGGGAGGCAAACGCCTAAACTCTATTGCTCCTGCCTTCCATCCCATCAGGCCTCAGCCTAAGTCTCCATGCATTCCTACCTGCCCTCTGCTCCCGCATCATGGTGCTTGCCATGCTTCCCCTTCTACTGCCTGTGCACCCTTTGTCTCTGGCCAGTTAACACTCATGCTTGTTTGTCTTGTGACTTTGGTCCCCTGGGTCCCAGCCCCTGACTCACTGGGCCTTGGTATAAAGGAGGCAGCAGGGGAATTTTTACAGGATAAATATGTCACATGTTGTGCCAGTTCACTGCCATACTCCTTGCAATCCTCCCTTTTATCACCTATATGAGAAAACTGAGGCTCAGAGGGGTTAAGCAATTTGTCTGGGGTTGGGGGGGTGGAGGGTCATGATTCAATTTTTAGTCCTGGACTCCAGAGCCTGCTGTCTCCCCATCGTGCCCTGAGGTAGCACTTGGCCTTCCTTCCCTGAGAGCAGCCACCTGTGTCTGAGCACCCCACAGTGCTGCCATCTATTACCTCAGAAAGAAAGAATGCCTAGGGATGGAATTCTGGGTGGTTACACAAGACGGCACACACAAATATGAGCAGGGCCTCTTGAGCACCAGAGTAAAGGAATGTAGGTCAAATAATTGCCCTGCCCAGTGTATCCCCCCATTACCCAACTTTCCTTATTTGTACATGTGAGGCCACAGTGGAAGATAAATAGATGGAAAATTCTAGAGACTTTGTATTTACCATTCAAAACAATAAATCAAGGAAAGAATTTTAAAGTCACTTTCTGTTTTTACACTTTCTCTTTCAGTTCATGATCATTCTAATTCAAAAGTTCAGATCATTAATTTTTTAACAGCCAACCAGGTATCGAAAATGGCAGGTCTTTGTATAAACAATTCTTGTTCAACTTTTAGGAAAATGGAGTAAATGACAGTGAGGATCATAATGCTAAAAAAAATTAATTAATTATGGTCCAAGTATACTCAATCCTCCCAAAGAACAACTCTGTGAAATCAGGTTCTGTTAAATACCTATTTTACAGATGTAGAAATCAAGGCACAGAGAGGTTAAAGAATTTTCTCAAGATGACACAGCTGAGACATAAAGGATTAAAACCCAGCCCACCTGGCTCCAAAACCTGCTCTTATTCATTATGCAACACCAACTTTCTAAGAAATATGTGGTACAGAATTTAGTTAACATTTCAATACTAATTTGGATCTTACAAATGCATTGTCTGCAATAAGAAACGTCACAAAAGTTGATATTATGCTAAATGCCTTTTAAAGTTACAATGGCGGGAAGAACACAAGGGACCATGGTGATGGTTCAGGGGTGAATTGGTGGTGGGAATTTTATGGGGACTACACCTGAGAGCCGAAAGCATACAAGCATGTGTTGTACAAGAATGAACAATGATGTAAAAAAAATATATGTATATGAATAAAAAATTAAAATAATAAAATAAAGTAACAATGGAAAACAAAAAGGAGGGAAAAAAAATCCTTCAGAGGATGAAGAAGCTGAAGGAAAGACTCAGGACATAAGTTGCCACAGAAGTTGCACATTTTAACATAATTGATTTTTAAGGACAGCTAATAAAATTAAATCATATAAATTACTGACTGACTGGAAACTGTTACCAAAGGGAAAAAGCAGGTATTCAGGTTCAAAAGCAAACAGGTCTGTCCAACGTGTCCACATCACACTGCAGAAATGGGTGGTGCCCTGCACCCAGCAACTAAG